CACGTGATTTGAAATCACAAGTATGACTGCAGGCTAAAATTGTACGACACTAAGTTAAATTAGCACTTTATTGCAATCATTTTGAAATCACAAAATTCAGTTTCTCAGATACAAGATTTTTGAGTCTGCTCAAAAGTTTTAATAATCTAGTAGTGAGCTGCAGGTTTGTTGAAAGTTGCAAAAGTTGCTTTAATTTCATTTTCCTGCAATTTAATTGGTTTCTTCAGACAAGCGATTGGTTGTTACATTTTAGTAAAGTTTCATCATTAGCTGGGAAAAAGATGCGATTTAAAACAAAAAATGGTGCGGCTCATGAATAAATTAGTGCCATTGAATATTGAGAGCCTATTAGATCACAAGGATTGCCAGTGATTTCAAAATGAATGCAATTAAGCTTAGTTTTAATCTGATTGGTTAAGCAGGTGGCGCCAATTTGTGCCGTATCTTAACGAGCCAGCAGGGCGAGTCAATATACGAAAAAAGAGTAAAAATCCTCACCGATACTACACACCATAACGTCTAGTAAATTATTTATTATCTAACTGCTTTATTTTATGCGCAGCTCTTAAAAAGTTGAAAGGCAAAGCAGATAGAGAAGCGTAGCGCGCAGCTGACCAGTTAGACAGTTTTTTTACTATACAAAATAACCAACTTTCCAATATCGCATTATATTTTTACTCGATTTACGCGTTATTTGAACTCTTCCTAGGGCAGTTGGATAATAGTAATAATCCAACATCAATCTTTGGACGTAATGGAATAACATATAATTCACTGCTGATTTTTTATTTTGTGCAAACATAACCATGATTTTCATCCTTTACAGCGCATCTGATTTCTTTTTTCCTGGCACTGAAACTCCCTCCAGTGTTATCACGTGGGCCCTATATTACGCCATTAAATACCCGGATGTGCAGGCCAAGCTTCATTGTCAGTTGGATTACGTCATGGGCAGCACAAATCGCCTGCCGGAAATTTCTGACAAACCAAATTTGCCTTATTTAAATGCATTTATCACCGAGGTTCTCCGTATTGTGAGTGAAACTCCACTCGCCGTTCCCCACTCAACAACTCGGGACACGTCCCTCGCTGGATTTAAGATCCCTCGGGACACGACTGTGTTTCTTAATCTCTGGGCCATACACCATGATCCCGATATCTGGGTCGACCCATTCAGCTTCCGCCCAGAGCGCTTCTTGGACGAAAACGGCCAACTGCACGTGCAAGGCGTCATGTCATTTTCAGCAGGAAAACGGTCATGCACAGGAGAGTCTTTTGCGAGGAAAGCAGTTTTCTTGTATCTTGCCCGATTGTTAAGCAGATTCAGATTTGAGTGCCTCGAGGGAACAACATTACCTAAAGAAGAAGAAAGCGTGTTCGGAGTCGTGCTTGATTGTAAGCCCTTCCAGATGCATGCCATACCCAGAGACAAGGACGAAAAGTAACGAGAGAAAAATCAGTTCGAGTCTGAAAGAAAGTGTGTACAGGAATATTATTTCCCTTTTATCCGTTAGTGTTAGAAATTGAACAGATTTAGCAATCGCGGCAAGAGATCGCCAATAAGAACATAGCAATGTACCTTAGCCTGGGCACAAGTATTTCTAACAAACCGATAGACAAATAGTTTGCAGTCAGTCGGTGGAGGCAAGCGAAAAATCTTGTGGGTGAAGAATGACGTTGCCCAGACATTCGCCTATCATCTCTAGTAGGCCATGTCGCTTGATAGCCTGGGCACAAGGCTGGGCAAGATTGGGCACAAGCACGTGCTGCGCTAAAACTTGCCTGCACTGTTTAGTTGCGTTATATCTACAGAAAATAACGGCAGACGTCAGCTATTTTGTAGCAGGGACGTCACACCTACAGACAATAACCTTAAATGTGTGTTGATATGAAGAAATGACGTCATACCGGCACACACCAGCGTTAAATTTGTACAGTTCATGAGGAAGTGACATCGTACCGACAGGCCATAGTCTTCATATATGAAGATGCGACGTCTCGCATATGGACCCGATATTTATTGTTTTAAAGTGACGTCATAACTAGAGACGGCAGTTTCTATACATTTCGAAGCGACGACTTAACAAAAAGATTTTATGTTATAGTGCGTCTGTTAGTAATAGATCACATATGATGTCAAAGTAGGAACAAAAAAGTGTTACTGATGTTCTTAAAACATCTTCACGTCTTCTTTGATCTTTGATGAACAGGCGCAGGGCAACACGAATCTATTTGTTTTTCTGTAACAAAAATGCAAAATTTTGTCAGACGTCATCTATGCGTCTAACTGCCAATAGGTTATGAGTAAGAACCAGTAAAAACATAATGCATGTAGAATTCAGTTTTTCATTGAGATACAGTGTACCTTTTGACAATAACGTTTAAGCATACATCACAAAGCAATTATTTGCAAAGGTACCAGTTGAACTACCAGTAAAGTTCGGTAGCTCTCTTTGGATCTTTTGGCATATCGATGTGAGACCATGTAATTCTTTCCAACAGTCCCACCTACCATTATAGAGACTATAATGTACATGCTGGGCGGATGCAAAACCATCCTGCGGTTCCTTTCATGCTAAGGGCTTTCGCGCAGTATTCATAATTTTCAGTTAGCTTGCTGTGCTCTGGAAAAAAAAAAAAAAGAAAAAAAAAGGTATCCGAAAAGCTAACAGTAGTTCGTTTGTATTTTAAAAACACAGATAATTAAGAAAGGAGCTGGATGCCAAGGTTTTATCAACCTTATTAGTATTAGGACTGTGTATAAAGACAAGAACTGTTTTCTTAAAAACTGTGTTCTTACTTAACATTGACGAAAAGTGAACCTTGAACTATTAATATGCCCTAGAAGGTTCTTAGATTGCAGCATCTCCTATTCCTACTTAACAATTCCTGGATGCCTTGTTGAGCAGAGGTCATTTTTTCATGGATTACAATACCCTATAGAAGTCTACAATGATTGTACATGTAAGACTTACCTTAACAGTCTGAATGCCTTTTTTTTATAAGATATCATAAAAAAGGGTCTCATTGTTATTAACCATTAGCCGTAAAACGGCAAAGAGATAGCCGCTTGACGTAAACGCTAATTCTATCTCTACGCCTCTGCAGACTGTCTACATTCTTCCGGCCTACTTTACTATGCAAGCTCTAAAGAACATGCTTGTATGTTCCCTATCAATAGATATGGGTGGGTGGCCAGCTGGCTGACCTCAGTTAGGAAATTAAACATTTGTCGTTAGAACACTGACCCGAACAATTTCACGAGACCTTTGAAATGATCAACAGATTAACTAATTATTCAGGTAACCTGTATCAACCTGTGACTGCGTTAGCCAAAACAAGAACTTTCGTGTGGGTCCAAAGGAAGGTCAGTAAACACATACACTTGAAAGTTAAAGAAGACTGTCACATTTCAAGGAAACTCAACACGTTAGCTCAAACCCAAAACACTTCAGACTTTCAATTCATAAAAGCAATTACATTCTAAATGTAAACGATTGACTAAATCATACTGAACTGACCAACTAACTGACTCACTGAATTAACTTATACTTCGTAATAAAATGGCAAAATTTTAACCAACAGTGTCAAATTGAAGTGGGCTTATTGTTTATCCGGATACATATTTGCGTTTCGTTCCAGTTACGGCAATGATCACTCGATTTTAACAAAAGTAACTTACTCTTTCGCCATTACATTGCCGAATATTTAACACATACCTGGTTTAAAATGTTGACCCTTGACTTACACTCAGTCGGGCGCTGAACTGCCAAAGCATGATAGATAAAATGAATTATACTCATCAAAAACAACAAAAAAATGTTAAGTTTTTATTCTTAACCCAAAAACAGAAGTTAAAATACGCAAAAATTGTCCACATTCAGTTTTTAAAATCAAAGTTATTACTTTTCTGGCCTGCAGATAGCTATTGCTTTTGTACTCGGCCCAGCCTTTCAAATCCTATAAAGTCTAAAATACCTAAACTACAAGCTTAGTAAAACTACTTCTTTCAAGCGCAACTCTCTTTTGTAGCGTCAAGTTACACTATTGATGTATTGTTGTCCAAGAGCTCCATGAATTCAGAAACCTTTATTTAATATATCTACAATTCTAGAATCCAAATTCGAAAACAGAAAAACATACAGATGTGATAGTTCAAAAGTTCAGTAAATAAAGACAGTATTTACATAGTATAAGAAAAACATATCTTTTTGGGTTGACCTGCCCTTTAAAAGCTGCCGTTTCCGCCCCGACTACAATTTCTCAGCAAGTGCCTTTAGACCTTTAAGTCGACTGTCGCGAATGGCTCCCTTGCCTCAAGAAATTCACTTATAGTAAAAGATATAGTAAGAACACTATATTTCACAAGAATTTTCTAAAGCGTTAAGCATGTTTGGAAAGGGCCCCTTTCCAGGAGTTGAGGACTTAAATACAAAAAGTAATACGCAATAATTATAGTAATACGTATGACTTGAGAGAGTGAACTCGGCCGATTTTAGCGTCAACATTTAGAAGGGATATCCAATTCAGTTTTGGCTGAAACCTTATGAAAGATCAAAAATTAACTATCATCACATCACTTTGCTTGTTTCAACTCAATTCCGTTAAGCTGATCACAAATGAAATAAGGTTAAATTGTAGGCAGCAATGAAGGTTTAGAAAGAGGGGGTGTACTGAAAGGGCTGTTGTATTCCCTCAGGGAACTATCAAGATGGGTATTTTAGAAGGAGTGACGCTTTGGTGTTAGCGCGATTTTTCGGCTCCCTCCTCTGAACCCGATACGTATCTGCTCCTTTTGGAGGAGTCTGATCAGTACCCAAAACTTTTCGTTTTCCTAACCTCATTGTTGAGGTTGACGTCTGAGATAAGTGTTCACTGTTCAGAATGCGCTATTTCACAGCGTCGCTCTGCAAGATGCGTAGGTCATAACCCACAGATTGTAGATGGAAAGAATACACCTTAGTTTTTGTTAATTTGGTTTTTCTGTATTTATATAGTCAGTCATTCATATTTAGAAAGCTTCCAGTCCACTTTGCCTTTCAAACCATTTGTGATTCAAACTCAAAATGGCGAATCAAGAACGGTAACATTTCTGGCAAAAATAACTTTTTCATTCCAAGACGCTAACCCATTCCACCACAGGGGTTATTATCTTGTTGACGATATATTTGTAAAGAAGCAAAACACGCGGACGTGATTTTCAGCTGTGACTGGTTTCGGTAACATTTCTAGCAAAGATAACTTTTGAATTCCCAGACGCTAATCCATTGCACAGCGGGGGTTATTATCTTGTTGAAGATATATTTGTGACAAACCAAAACACGTGATTTTCAGCTGTGACTGGTTTCGGTGAATGCTGGATATGATCAGCAAAGCTCGATAAAGGGTGTGGGCCTTAGTTTGTACCAAGAATGTACATTAATGCACTTTCTATCTTTTGTTCTTGTTTTTGTCTTCATTTTTTTTCTTGTTACTACAAATTTTTTAAACACGGTTCAAGTACTGTTCAGTCCCTATGGAGCAATTTACACGCAAACATATCAGACTTCGAAGAATCCAGAATTGGTTAATTTGGGTTATACAAGGGGAGATTATTTTCAAGGTTAATCTCAGTTGATTAAATAATTAGCTGCACACGAGCGCTTTCCAAGACCAGTCACAAATCGTTTCTCTTCTTGCTCCGCTGTTGTCGCCCAATTCAAGTCTATAAAACAAGGCAGATGGATAGTTAAATACCCAGCCGAGAACAAATATTCTCGGCTGCTTATCGTCCGTCGTTGAAAAATGGATGCACGCTAATTTAGGAGTTAAGCAGGTTTTTGGGTTCTAAGCAAGAATTACAAAATAAGGAGAATTACAATGTTAACTGTTAGTGGCGAAAATATGAAGAACTTCAGCTGCGATGCCAGATTCTCGGATTCTGACCGAAGCTTCCCGCCAAAGAGAGACATCTTGTTTTCAACAGATTCAAAACATGTAATTGCATTCCCTTTCAGGGTTACTGTGGGTCGATTAGATTATTAGTTCCACGTGAGTGTCTTGCAAGACCTGTCATAAACCGCTTCTTTTCTTGCTTCGCTGTCGTCGCCCAATTACATAAAAAAAAGGCAGATGGATAGTTAAATACTTATAAGCAATTTTGTTGTATTCGAGTATTTTTAATCGTTGTTTGTATTTTGACGCACTCGGCGGGCTTGTAAAAAATACACCACTACTCTAAGAAATACGCAGCGATACTACACAGCAAAACGTCTAGGAAGATGTATTTGACCAACGGGCACAATAGATACCCAGCCGAGAACAAATATTTTCGGCCGGTTATCAATTGCGCCCGTTGTTGAAAAATGGGTCAACGCTAATTTAGGCCTTAAGCAGGTTTTTGGGTTCAAAGCAAGATCTTAGGAAATGAAATGAAAATAGTAGAACTTTTTGCAAAGCTATGAAACTTATAACTGTCGTAGCGTGTAGCATTATGAGATATAATAAACAGAATTACAGTGTTAACTGTTATTTGCGAAACTAGGACCTTCAGCTACGATGCCAGATTCTCGGATCCTGATCAAAGCTTCCCGCCAAGAGAGACATCTTGTTTTCGACAAATTCAAAACATGTAATTACATTCCCTTTATGATTTAGACGCTAGACCTCGAAACCATACCGTGTTGGGCGGAACATAGCTGTTTGAACGCCGGGAACCAGCAGTTGAGCACGCCACACTCGGCGAAAGGCACCAAGGACTCTCGAACTGTCTTTTTATTCTTTCTTTGATTAATCGGTTCTCCAGTTCACATTTTTACTTACATCCAAGTTTACTTCATTCTGTGTAACTCTGGTTAATCTCTTAGGTTCCGACTCTTTAATTCTAACTGAATACTTCTCACTGACACGTGCTGCTAAACGCTGACTTCAACTACGGAATTTTATCTCTACACTTCTGCACAATGTCTACTTAACAAATAGATTCTAAGTTGCCGTGCGTCTGTTCAGTAATAGATCACAGATGACGTTAAAACGTGGTAAGAACAAAAAGTGGCACACGAGGCGCAGCCGAATGTGTCACTGATGTTCTTACCGCATTTTGACGTCCTCTGTGATCTCTTACTGAACAGACGCACGGCAACTTGGAATCTATTTGTTTTATATAATAAAGAATTAAAAAAAAGTTTTAACGATGATGTCATCTATACGTCTGTCCTCCAATAGATCATAAGTGAGAACCAATCATAATGCGTGCATGACTGAGCTTATTAAAATAATAGAATATAAATTCTACTATTCTACGCTACTAAGCAAGCGCTTAAGAACTACTGCTCTGATAGGTAAGTTCTGAAGTACACAATGCTTATATATATTTACTATTGATAGATATGTGTGAGCATGCCAGCTGGCTGACGTTAGGAAACTAAACCTTTTGTGGTTTGAACACTAACCCAAAATGCATGAACATTGCATAACTCAAAACACGAACTTTCGTGTGGGTCCAAAGTAAGGTCAGTAGACAAACTAAGCACGTCTTAAGAAAGATGTTTCCTTGTCTTGTCACGAGCGTGGGACAAAGAAAAATTCTGAGTCCCTATGAGGAATCGAACCTCAGACCTTCGGATTGCTCCACCACTGAGCCACAAAGACTCTTCGGTGAGCGAGGTCTATTAAAAAGTTCAAATGACACGTGTCCTGCATACTGCATACTGCATACTGTTAGGATCACTTCTATTTATATCCAAAAATATCACGCTATCGACATTGCTGATCCTAGCAGTATGCAGGACGCGTGTCATTTGAACTTTGCAATAGACCTCGCTTAGGTAGCGATATATTCAACTAGAATTTTCGAAAGCATTAAGCTCTAAAACACATGCTTAAATGTTTGCTATTGATGGATTTGGATGGGTGGCTAGGTGGTTGACCTTTGGAAATTAAACAGCAAATGGCATTTGTTGTTAGAACAACAAATTTCACGAGACTTTCGAATGATCAACAGAGAAACTAATTCTTCAGATCAACTGTATCAACCTGTGACTGCGTTAGCCAAAACAAGAAATTTCGAGTGGGTCCAAAGGAAGGTCAGTAGACAAACTAAACACTTCCACTAAGAAGTTAGACGAGGCAGTCATAACTGGAAAACTCATTACAGTGGAAAAATCATATTAAACTAACTAACTAACAGAATTACTTGATACTTTGTAAAAAAAAAAAAAAAGTTGGCCGGCAAAATTTTAACCGTTAGCCGTAAAGCCATCACCCCATTGGGAACTTTTGTAATACAACAACTGCGACTAGCTTGTGGCTCCGTTTAGCATAGCGGAATCATTTCTTGTAATATTAAATTCGTTCAGCTTCAAACTAACGTCATCTCCTTAGCTTCAAATTACCAATAGTTCGAGTTACAGACTAAAAAGGTAATTTTTAGGAGAACTGTATCATATTCCCTTTGTATCAAGTGTTTTTCTTCAGCGATCTTCACGTGTCTTCTTCTTCTTCTAGAAATTTGCTGCCACAAATGGAGTTGAAGTACATCTTTCTTGTGGTATTTAGCAGTACCTGTTTTTCAGCATCAGGTGGGTAAATCTACTGTGATTGGCGCGTAAGTGTCTTACATGCGGGCTTTGCCCATATCGAGTAGGGAAGATATTCCAAATTCCTGCGGTACAAAAAGGAACATGAGTTTACTTTATAAATGGAACTGATCATAGAAATGAAAATCTTTGCCACTGATATGTTAGACTGTAGCGTGTAAGACCTACTATTCGTTATAAAAATAGATTACCTCCATCACGGACTTTTTTTTTTTAATCCACTCGACAGTGTCAAATTGAAGTTGAATAATTATTTATCCCGATGCAGATTTACATTTCGGTTCACTTTTATGATGATCATGCGATGCCGAATGTTTAACATATACATGGTTTATGATGTGCATTTAAATAAAGGAAAAACTTGCTCGTAAATTAGCCAGCTGCCGCAAATCATTCATCTTATCTAACTTATCTTATGTAACGTATCTTATGTAACATATCTTATGTGGGGCCACACTGGCGTGAATGTCACGCAATCCTTTACTTGGAAAATGCTCAGGCTCTGCTTTTTTAGAGCTAAATTTAAGAAATTTGTCACTTATTCCTTTCATTGTACAAGAGAAGATAAATAGGGAACTTTTTTCTCTTTCCCTAAAGACTGAGCTGCGATAAAATAGTTTGCATGTTTTACACCCAAAATGTCTGTCTTTTAAATGACCTTTCACTTCACTTCCTGAATGGGTAGACTAATTGCTCGCATGTAATTAACTTCGCGGTTAATATCCAACCTACGACGGGGTAGAAACGATTCCTATTGGTTAATAGATGAAAATATTGAAATTTCCTTTTGGTCCTTTGCCTCGGGCGCTGAACTACCAAAGATAGGTAGGAAAAGATACTCATCAAAGAAAACAAAAAAAGTGTTGTTTTTCGTTCTTAAAATCAAAGTTACAGCTTGTCTGGCCCGCAGATAGCTAATGCTTTTATAATCGGCCCAGCCTTTCAAATCTAATAAAGTTTAAAATACTTAAATTACAAGCTTCGAAAAACTTCTGGTTAACTGCCTCCTTAAGCAATTCTCTCTTGTAGCCTCAAGTTACACTATTGATAAGTTCTTTCGGCCGTTTCTAAGCCGTTTTCCTAACTTGGGAACAAAATTCCGATTGATATCTAATCACGCGTGTTTCTGTTCTTTACCGGTTATCAAGGGGCATCCATGTGACCCAAATCAGGCCACACAATTGGTTAATTGCCTAATGCATTATCAATGAGTTTGAGAACTGTCTTTCACAGTTCTCTTTATTCTACTTTCTCAAAGGCAATCTTACTTACATTGAACTAGCTTCAGATGGACAACGTTGGTTGATTGACCTAAACTCCGATCAATTAATGAAAAACACTCAAAATCGTTGACAGAACTACCCAAGAGGGAGAGGGAGGGGTCCATTCGCACGGTAATTTTTTTGCCCCAAGCGCCCTCTCCCCAGTTCGCCTTCCCTCCATGCGAATTTTTTTTTTTGCTCCTGCCTCCCTCCCTCCCCTCCCACGCTACATTTCTCTGGAAAGGAAGAAGCGGGAAATTCGAGTTTACCGCGCAGTCTTTTCCAAACATGAACGACTTCAGTGCTGAGTACATTAAGGATCTTGTAATAACTCAAAGAAAAACACACTCCGAGGTGAGCTTTTGGTTAAAAGAAAGATTTCCCGACAAGAAAGGCTTTTGTTCGAGGTCAGTTAGGAGGTTTTTTTTTGAGAATGGGATAAGTTTACACAACCGCCTGTCAAATGATGAGCTTTAGCAATGCACGCGGGACGTCGTTGCTCGGATAAGTATAAGTTTATTAGACTTAATTGCTTGTTTTTTGCTATTTTCTTCTTTTTTCTACCATGAGTTCTTTGTTTGTATAGCTGTCTATATGAGCACCCTTCAGGGTTCAAAATACTTTTTCAGCTTTTAGCGTGAATTTGTAGGCTTTTGTCAAGGCTCATTTTTTTTCCCGGCTGTCAATAAGAAATGAGCAGTCAGCACATGCCTTCAACACTCAACATGATTTATTAACAGTACTGAAAGGAATTAACATTGAATGCGCACTTAACAGCATTAACGTGTTTTGTTCAAGCGTGATCACCAACTCTAGAGATGAATGCAACTCTCACCTTGGAGTGAACGTAAATCCCATTAGCGGTTCCTTCCAAAATATATCTGCCACTCAGGCGGTGTGCGCACTCCGACTGCTTTGCATTGTGGTAGCTTCATTTTCGGGTGATGCTATATTGAAGGGAAAGCGTACTCCGAAATCCGTCAAAAGGAGGTCATCTCGGGTAGATTTCCG